AGAAAATGCTTTGAAAGTTGGGACTTTATTTCGAAATGCCGCACACCCCATCGCACGAATACATGAACTATGTGGACAAACGTCAATGCATGTTCTGGGACTTGCGAACACCCCAGGGGTCGAAGTCGAAAATCTGCAGATGCATGCGGTCATAGGGTCGAGTTCCAAAACACCCCAGATATACTGCGCAAGGGCATCCACAATACAGATCATTGGATTCGACAGGCCACTACCACACCGAATGCAATACATATCATTGAACCCGATATCTTTGGCTTTGGGAGATAAGTCCGAAGTGGCAACTCATGCACCAGGTACCGTTGATGCAGAAGAGGAACGCGAAGAGTTGAAGAATAGGATGAAAGTGAAAGCCCTGGTCGAAAAGCTAAAACTTCACACTATTGCCAAACATCCCGCCTCACCGAAAGAACTTGCCCTTCCGAGAATTGTCAATCAAATTAACTGTTCATCCGAACTGCACGCGCTCCTTCAGAAAAATATCTCGCTTGTTGGTAGGCGATCTAGGCGAAGTTTGAGCGTATCAGAACGTGTTGTGGAATCTGCCACAACAATGAAAGACTTCGTAGTCCTGGCTATCTGGCAGATTATCACTGTCTATCTGTACCCAATAATACGACGAGCTTTTATAATTGGGTTGTTGGGGCATCGGATAGCTGCTGAGACTTTGCTTTTGGTGTTGGAGTGGAGGGCTAAGCCGGATTATGCTGCTTTGAAGGATATTTCAGCAACAGCTCAGCAAGTGGAGATCCGTCTTCTCCAATTCTCGTACTGGCCCCTGCAAGTAAGTTTTCCCTTCTCTTTTTCTATATTCCCTTGGCCAAATACCCCGAATGTCGCCAAATTGGAATCAACAATGGCTGGCTCCTTCAATGTCCTCACACTGGATTCGACAATGGACTCGCTTGTGGACGTTCCTTCCTTGGGATGTACCTTCCTGGAGCTGAGCGGTACATGAGATTGCACTACCTTGTTGAGCACACATTGCTTTGCAGGTGCCTTCACTTCTGGTGAAGATGGACTTGCTAGCTGGGCGTACCTGCCCTTTGCAAGGAGATGCCTATATCTTCTACCTCTGCCCTCATTCTTCTCACAACTCTCCAAACTTCTACATCAACAACACAACTCCTTCAGCACTGTACCATAGTCAACAAGGCAAACTGCGAGCTTCTCCTGTGCTGCAAGGTGAGAGGTAAGCCTGATCCCTACTCTACCACCAAGGTCATAGGTTGATTAGATACCCAGCGTCAAGGCGTATCGGCGGCGTCGGTGTGAGGCTCTTGACCATAGTCAACAAGGTTGGACCTGTGGCTATTTGAGATTGCTTGAGTGAGTTCATAGCCTCTCGATTGCGAAGATTGCTTGCTAATAAGATCAAGGATCCTGATGTGCACCATATTGAGGACCTACCAGTCGTTGGCGTCAGACAGCGTCAGATTCATCGCACTCGACCACCATCTCTATTGAATGGGTAGTGTCGATTCGGACGCATTTCAGCATATTCGTCTCGGTGATTGTGTCTCGTGGCGCACGATGGCTACCAACACCATTCTTCAACTTCTCCTGCTCCTCACATGGGACTGCATCACATCAGCTACAGTCAAGAATCCACTCTACGGCATCTTCTTCACTAGCTTTGTGGTCCTAGCAGAGCTTGTGTCTGCTGTCAGCCTGACGTTTGCTGATGGTCTCTTCGAAACCTTGCGATCTGCGAATCCACCTACCATTGCATGGCTGAAATCCCTTCCTACCGAACTCGAGAAGAAATGGGCTGTTTACCTCCTCGTTCTTGAAAAGGCAGGATCACGCCCTCGAGTCTACATTGGTTCTTCTACATGCAAAGACCGCGGTGTCAGGGCACGCTTCAAGCAGTACGAAGATGAGTTGTGGTTGCCCACTAACATCGAGATTTCCCTTCATGATGGGTTCACCATCACGAGCAGAGGATTGCTTGCCTGGACTCCCATTCCATCACCTGCATTTCAACCGGTCATCCGCCTGTTCTTCCTCGCACTCGAAGCCACTTTGGCACACGCACTCTGGTCAATGAGTAGCACATACAGCAATGATGCACTGCTCCGACTCTGTCCTTGACCTGTCGATACTCTGCCGTACGATGGTCTCTGTTCCCACAGCTGCCTGCGTGAAGGTGTCAAGGGTGATTTCAAGTTGACTCCTGAGGAGCGTGAGCAGAAAGCAGCCGAGCTCAAGCGCCACATCGCTGAGCGTATGAAAGTGGTTTCGAAAAACCATGTTCAACGTCAGAGGGAGAAAAATCTTGCAGCTTATCTCGACTACCACAATACCATGCCAAAGAAGTACTATCGCGAGGACCGGGCAAGATTCCTTTCCACCAAGAAGAGATCCGTGAAGAAAGTTATGGAGACCCAGAAGCACTACTGTGACCCATGTCGCATGTCTTGCAAGACCCCTCGGGCTCTTGCCGAGCACAAGGGCCCAAAGCACCGGAGACAAGTCGGAGACATTGACATTCTGAAGGGTCTTAGGCCGGATAAAGCCAGGAACATCCTTGAGAAGAAGTTCTATTGCAAGCCATGCGACAAGCCCTTTCCCAGCAAGACACTCCTGAGAAATCACGAGAAGACCAAGATTCACCTACAGCGACTACCAGGCGGTATCCATGCTACCACTTAGGAGCCTGAGTACCACTGGTCATTACCGTCATTATCGCCGTTGTCGTTCATGTTCTGTATCTCCTTACAAACATTGCTACCACGATCTTTTCAGACCTCAGACGCCGCCTGATCAACGACGTCGATGTCATCGTGGACCACGTTTCTAGAATCGTTTTCGCTTAATTGCTGCAAATCGACATTTCCGATTTACTTCACTGCATAACTATGCTGCTTGAAGCCTACCAGCGACGGCAATCGACACACACATATATCTCCATAGCGGTGCATCTCGTCTTCTCAAACCCATCTCATGTTTCGAGTCACGATCTACCCTGAATCAGGCGATAGGGGGCCACTAAGTCTGCTTGGAGTGTGATGACGTCTTTCATCTTGTGGCGCTGCTATTCTGTTATGTTCACCACGGTCATCAAGAGCATCAATTCGTGCTGGAGGCTTTGGCAAATGCCAACTCTGAAGGACATACTCTCTCGGCTCTCGGGAGTGTACTATCATTAACTTTGAACTTTGCAGGGGCTGGATTTTTGGAGCTTAACATTTTTCTTTTTGTCGTGTTGTCTATGGGTTGCTTCTAACACATCTTAGTATGTTACATTACGTGAGAGGAAGAGAGACTGGGAGAGTGTCACAGATAGCCATCCAGATTATATCAGATTCTACAACTCAATCTGGCTGGTGTGCAATGATGTTTGTAACCAATTGTACATTTCTTTTCCCTGAATAAGCTGCTGACCACTTCCAATCCAAAAGGTCATCATCGGCATAGCGCTTGGAAGTTTCATCATAGATAACGCTACCTGGCTCGCGGAAGCCATCTACGAATTTCTCCGTCTGTACTCAGTCTACGCCCTGCAACGCACAATTGACTGGCTTATGTACTGGCCGTATGAGCCCCAGTCCTTCTACATATGGTATTATGAACTGACTTGCCGATTTATAGTGGAGGTTTGAAGCTCAACAATGAGCTTGCTGCTTTTCTTGGTGACCTCTTTCTGGTAAGATGACCCCTGTTTCAATGTTTCTGCATGTACTAAGTCTTCCACAGTGGGTGATCGACCATTGGCTTGCCTGCATCGAAACACTGCGACCTGTATTACCTCATGTTATTTGGTTTATCGGCTTTTCCAGCTTTGCAGGCGCCAGCATGCCGATAGCTCTTTTCTCAGATCTGCTTTCAATACTGACCCTCCATATTTACTCGTTCTACCTCGCCTCTGCACGAATCTTCAATTGGCAATACACGATCCTACTGTCACTTTTCCAACTCTTCCGTGGAAAGAAGCACAATGTGCTCAGGAAACGTATCGACTCTTGCGACTACGATCTTGACCAGTTACTCCTTGGCACTATCTTGTTCACACTACTCTTTTTCTTGCTGCCAACTGTGATTGTGTTTTATCTCACTTTCGCATGTGCACGCATGGCCATTATCTCTCTCAAAGCTGCCCTGGACACCCTCCTTGCATGCCTGAACCATTTCCCTCTGTTCGCTCTGATGTTGCGAATCAAAGATTCTCAGCGACTTCCAGGTATGGAACCGCCTATGCTCTCCCATAAATGTATTCTAACGTATGCTAGGTGGTATCTGTTTTGAGCTTCGAGATGCCCAACTCATTACCTCTGCGCCAAATAACCTCAGAGTACCACCAACTTCACACATCTACCTCAAGGTAAGCGTGACTCGTGCCGAAAACGATTGAAACCTCTACTGACAAGTACCAGTCTGTTCCTCTCACTTTTCGGGCAATGTTCCACCAATACTTCCAGCTTGGCCACCGAATTAGGAAACATTATATGTCGCCTCGTGTATTACTTGGCCTCGCAACTGGCAAATTCGTTCCCCCAATCCATCGCAAGAATCTTTACAGCCTGCAATACAGCATGCTACCGGCCAAGCGAGCTGGAGTGATGGAGATGTGGCACGCATTGACAGCGGAAGGGCCCAAAAAGTTGAGTGCGTATGATATCAAGGTCAATGGCAAACGGCTTAATGGGACGCGGAGGCAGTACTGGCACTAGACATAATGGGTATGGCGATGATGGGATAACTTCTTGCATACCAAGCAATTGTACATGAATAGAAGTAATGATAATATATGGGAAAGTACCAAGCAACATAGCCAGACGTTCACGACGCTTGGCCTTTTTACTGCAAGCCGGATTTCGGTCAGAGGTAGTCAATTGACCAATATCACCCCTTCGCTAAGCCAGCGCCCCACCAAATTCACCCACCCACAAAGAAACATGGAGAAAATTTCATGGGTAACTTGTAACGAAATAAGCACTTCCAATCATATGTCACAGCATATTCGAGCTTAAAGACACCTGTCCCTCGTGGCGCAATTGGCTAGCGCGTAAGCATCTCCGGCTCGTTTTCGAAACAATCATCGTTCTAATTATCATCCAGGTTCGACTGTTACAAAGCAGATAATCGAGAGGTTGGTGGTTCGAGCCCACCCGAGGGAGTAATTCCTTTTTTGCACCTTTTGCATCCTTCTTGATGCTTATTATAGTGCCCTTAAATAATGCCGAAGTGTGTTTGCCTCCAATACTTTATCATAATCAAAACTACCCACTGGAAAACTTCCAACTTCCACCTTACCTTATCATGTTTGCAGGCTCGTGTATTTTACTTTATTCTTCAAACCTGTCATTTAGAGATCTAGGTGTCGAAGGGTCCTCCAATGGTAGAGACTCAGGTGTAAAATTAAAGATTGTCTATGCACTTACTCGATTGTTTTGAACCTGGGAAGATCCCTGCAGCTGATTGATTTTCCGCAAGCTTCCACTCTTTCAGTTTCCTATGCTTGTTTTGTCCACATATGCCTTGCCGAGTTTGCTGACGAGGAATGAAGAATTTCGGCTACGACATCCCTGTAATGGTCACGCCAAGACCCATGCTATTTGATATGTTGGCAAAAAGCAGGAAATTGATCATGGAGTAACCATTCCATATCGGAAGGCCGTCATCCTCACAGAACTCTATTGATTTCCCTTCACATCTTTAAAAATGACCCAACATTCATCGATCTCTTTTGAACGTAGTCCAACATGTTGGGCTCGAAAAACAGAACCAGATATTTCCATACCAGGCCGCTAGGTTCCGTCTCACGACTGGGCCAGATTCAGCTGATTATGTTCAGAATAATGCCCTTGCGGACCGTCTTTTCAAGATGAGCCGTCTTCAAAACTCGGTTCTGCGAAATGATTGTGCAACAGTTCGGCTTCTCCATTAAAGTATATCTATCTATTTCGGACGAGTCTCCGGGTTGCTAGTATGCCTTCTAGATCTTGGAGTTACAACTGAAAATTCTAGCTTTGGTTGGCTGCGAACTCTTCTGTCTCCGTGTACTGATGATGGTCTTGCGCCCGGGAGTGCGGGTCTCAAAAACATCTGGGAAGATCCCCCGTCAGGCAGTGTTTCTGTCGTCTCTTTCTTCGGTGGCTGAGGTGCCTCTATCCTTTGGTCTGTATGATTTTCACCATCGTCATCATCGTCATCATCCTCTCCGAATGTGCCCTTCCACGGCCCTTGAAGTATAGGGGCAGACTGTGCGTGCGCCCTGAGTCGATGGTTCTCCTCCCACTCTGCAGCATCCCACAGCCTCTGCGCCGCCCTCTCCCCCTCCTCCAAGATATCCGTGGTATCAATCTCGCAGGTGAAGGTTGGCACAACAGCAGGAGTTGGCTTCAGAGGAGTGATGTCGAAATATGGACGCGTTGGTTTGACAGGAAACATATCCTTCATCCAGGCTAATGCAGTTGTGGAACTCGACGGCCGGGTTTTGACCAGAGCTTGCGAAGTGCCAAAATCAGGAAGGGTCCACGAGGATACCATCGGTGCCGATAATCTTTGAGAATGAGGAGCGAAAGGCGTAACGAGTGAGCTCTGACTTGAGTTGGCGCTTCCTGGCAGGGTCTGCGCGTATGAAACCTGCGGTGCTTTGGGACGCAGAGGAATAGGCCGGGAGGACCCGTCTCTAAATTCTTGCAGATTACTTGCAATTGAGGTTTGGCTGGAATTTGGGCTAGAACCTAGATTTGGGGGAGTAGGCATGGGTCGAAGTGGCACTACGAACAAATTCAGCGTCAGTATTGGAATCTCCAGAATTTCGGAAAAGCAGATACTAATTTAGGAAAGATCGAAAAGATCATGTGCTATCGTGCTAAATGATCTTTAATGGACAAGATACGAGGAGCACACTCACTGTGAGGCAGCACATCCCCAGGGTCCGTCGTTGTATATGGTCCAGCAGTTCCACTGCCAGTTCTCCGAGAAAGTTCGTCCATAGCCAGAATCGTCTCTTTCCTCGTCGCCTCAATCGACTTTATGAGTACCATAAGATCAATCTTCTCTACTTTCGATAGTTTACCCGCGACACTCCGAGACAGGCGCTCCAGGACATCTTGTTTGAACCTCGCTCGAGTTTCTATCAGGTTGTCGAGACATGTCCCTGCTCAAGGTAAGTAAGAGTGTTTTCAGGTAAGGTGTTTCGAGATCTTACTATCTCCTCGATCGAATCTTGCTCCATGCTGTTGTGAGCACCGTTGGAACTTCTCTTCTATCGTGGATTTTCCTTCCTCCAACAGCGTTTGGCATTCTTCTGTGCCTACAGCCCTCTTTCCTGACCTTCCTGTCCGCCACTTAGCGAACAGGTCTGAGGCTTCATGATATTCTTGAGCAATCGCAAAAACACCAGAACGGACATCAACCACTATTTTTAAATCCATTATCAGTTCAGAGCACAAATTGTTCGTCGAAGGCGCGAGGTAGAGCCTTACAGTCCCTGAATGTGTTCCCGGAGTGCGGCTGAGCTGTGGATGCAATTTCGTCCCGTTCGGTGTGCAGCATCATACTGCATGCAGAACGGCCCCCGAAATAAATCAGTAACGAGGCTGAAGTATTTCGTACAAATCAAAAACTGCCACATGCCAATATCACATCAAGTGGCTTGGTAGGCTTTCTAATAGTGCACATGCAAATTGATTTCTAACATGGTTCTCCGAGCCTGACCAAATGAAGCGCAGAAAACGCCATGCAATGTCTTGAACGAGCCTTCGAGTCTCAGCCCATCGACCCACGAGCCCTTCTCTGCACTTTTTCCCTTTTATTGTTCTGTTTCATGTTAAATATAATGCTCGCTGTGCTGTCCCATCTTGATCTGTATGATTTTGATTTGCTTTCTTTACCAATTCAACTTCCCCTAGTGCTGTGTTACCATTTTGAGCCTCAGCATGATCTTGTAAATTGCTGTTTCTGAAAGTCACACGGGCTTCTCTAGCCTGTGCGCAGCGAGGTAGATTGGGTACTTCAGATGTTCACATGTTTTTCTGCAGAGCTGTTCAAGAATAATATCCCAAGCAGAATTGCCATCAATCGTTCAAGCTCGCCATCATCACAATATGGCTGGGCGAACCGATCTGTCATTCCCAGGTGGTAGAACTATTCGGGATCTACCCAGCCAAAGGTTCTATCGCAAAGACCAAGAAGAGATGGAAGACCGAAACGCTGGCCTTGACGAGCCCTCCCTTCCCCGGTCTGTTGGAGCCCTGAACAACAGACACCTAGCTGGTGGAATGGCTCGGAATGGCTCATGGGAAAGAGACAATGAGTATAAGCTATCCGCTCCAGGGCAAAGTCACATAGGAGCACCACATCGCACGACAACGTCGCCCAGATCTAGCAGTCAGGGATACATACCATCTGGTGAAAAGGATCCCCAACAGCCACATAGTCAAAGGTATTCTTCTGCGCCAACAAGAGAAATGCAGACTTCCCATGCCGGATACTTCGATCAGACGAGGTCTCAACACCAGTCGCCAAGACTCGACGAAGAAAATGTCACTACACCTCACCACCTAGATGCTCTAGGAGGACAATACGATGGTCGTTGTCCGTACTTACCAGTAGAGGAGTCCCACTTACAGACAGAGGACTTCACCCACAACTCTGCAGTTGATTCGAGTCCTTGGTCGCGAAGGAGGGGCCAACGACACAACTCACCACCGCCACAAGAGCTAGATGCAAGCCCTGGCTCTTCAAACGAGACGAGGTGGTCATCGAGGTCCGATAGCCATGATTTCATTCCGCAACACCAAATCCGTCAATTTACACCAAGCATTCGACCAAATCCACAGTATGTTGAATTTCATGCTGAACGAAGCCATTTCCGCACTACCGATGACGAAAACAGAGCTCAGGAAATCCTTCTTCGGGATAAAGAGGCCAAGATTGAGAAGCGATCTTCACTTAGACGCTTTGTGATGCCCAAGGCCAAGCGGACCTCTTTCAGCCAGAGGGAGATATTCCGAGCCATCCAGTCCATTGTCGATGGGCACGAGGCAGCTGGGCCAGGAGTAGTTGAAGTACTCCTAGGAAAGTTCGTCAGGGGTGGCGGGGACATCAACTTCGTTCCCAGCCAGAGCACCTCGCTTGGATTAATGACAAGAAAACGTCCAGAGGAATCGAGCCGGTTGCTTGAGAAGGCGACGACCTGTGGTAATGTCGAAGTCGTGCGGCTACTGTCTCGACATTCGAACAAGACAGCGAAGAACAAAGCTTTAGAGATAGCGCTTTCGAATCGAAACACAACAACCGGTCGAGACACCACGAAGGAAGACCAGATTATCCATATTCTTGTCTCCGGTGGTGCCGATGTGGATACCACGATAAGTTCTGCTGTGGCTGCTGGTGAGGAGAATCTTCTGCAAATGTTACTCGAAGGCACCCCGCCTGCGTCCGCTCTTTCAGAGGCCTTACCAATTGCAATTGCGACTCGAGACACACTTCTTCGTCGGAAGCTTGCGCAAATGCTTCTTCGCAAAGGGGCCGACGTCAATAGCAAGAATGGCGTCTCTATGCTAGAAGCGACAAAGTTATATGACATGGTCTTATTAGACATGCTGTTGGAGAGACGCCCCTACGTTGCATCCCTGAATCGCGCATTCGCGGTAGCGCTGGCATACACCGATTCCGACCATCGTTATGAAGCTTGCCAGAAGCTGATCAATGCTGGCGCAACCGGTGAAGAGGTCGATAAAGGGCTTGCAATCGCCATGACCATCGAGCACCAGAACATCGACTTCCTAAGGCTGATTCTTCGCAGCGCATCGGTTGACTACGAGAACGGACATGCCCTATGCCAGGCTATCACGAACGATTCTCAAGAACACTTGAAGTTACTGCTTGCTAGGCGACCAAATGAGCTTTCTTTTGACAACGCCCTCGAAGCTGCGATAAGGTTGCGAAATCCCCGTGATCAGTTGAAGTATTGCCACCTTCTAGTAGCGGGTGGACCACCACGCACCTCGTGTTCCAGAGCCCTGGTTCTTGCCGTTACAGGTGGCGGGCAGAAAGATCAACTTTGCAGGATTCTCCTGGAAGCGAGAGCATCTGTTGACTACGATGGAGGTGCGTCAATCACAGCTGCTGCTCGATCAGAGAATATCGGCATCCTAGAACTATT